CTCCAGCTTCGATTTCTCGCATCTCTCGTACCCTTCATTGCTAATGAATGTCGTCTGCATCCCCTTCGTGTACACGCTCGGACACAATACCAGCGTCTCACCAGGATTGCGGTCTAATGGGCATAGGACAAGGCCCATCAGCTCCTGTTTTCGCCTCAACATCTGTCTTCTTCGGGTGTCATCCACAGATCTTGATTCCTCGATGCAGGCAGCCACTTCATCCGCACGCACTACCACCACTCCGACTCGCTCTCAAGCCAATCTAGTCCATTCAACGATGTCGGCGCGAATACCCTTACAAGGTTATCCGCCCTGGTTTTTGCAGATGATAGGAAAAGTGGGTTGGTCAAAATAAGCCGTGTGAGGTACGACCCCGTCCGGGACCCGCCTTGGCTAAGGTAGGTGGGTATGTGGGCACGCAGTTTTAAGGCGCGCGTGTGATTTTTCTGATTGAGTGGGCGGTCGGTCTAGTCGACCAACCCAGACCGTATTACGGACTGATTAAGGATTAAAAGTTCGTTTTTGTTTGGCCCGCACGACCGACGGGAGGACTGGCGCACAGGATGGTGCGCGGGGCGGCCACGACACGGTCCAGGTAGGCCGGCGCGGGTGCCTAGCGACGGCACGCTGGTTGTAGGCAGAAAAAGGGGGTCTAGCTGTTCCTCCCAGGCCTAGGCACCGCGCAACACCCTCCTCATATTGAAATCCGCGCCTGGCCATCTCGGGCTTGGGCTTAGCCCTATAGGTTACGGTGTTGGGTTACTGCCCTGAGGTTCGGGAGCCGAGGCCGGTGGGCGTCGGTACAGCAGCAGCGGAGCGGCGGAAGACTAAGGGGTTGAGGGTCCCGCGGGACTATCCCCCTTTTGTTTGATCGGGGGAGTCCGGTCGCAGGCCCCGCCCCTTGGTACTAAGGGAGCCCTGGTAGTTCCTTCCCCTCCCGACAGTATTTCGGGATGCCCAGGTCTTTTTTATGGCCCCGCTTCTGGCGGAAAATCCGACGCTAGTCCGTGGCCCACAGCCCCCGCTGGCAGACCGGGAGTAAGGGGGGGGGCCGAGCGGCTTTTGGTGTCGCCACGGGGCTTTACCCCGGCCGAAGTCCTTTGGGACATTCGTTAAAATTGGGCCGATACTGAGAAGATTTGCGTAGCCCCTGGGCACGGATGACGTGTGAGGAGTCCGGGAGCGAACCCCAGACGCGATTCAGGAGAGGTGCGTGTGGGGAGAGTGAAAAAGCTGAGTGGCCTTTGAGATTGCCACGGGGCAATCACCCTGGTTGGGTCCCTTCCTTTTCCTTGGTTTGTTCGTTCGACCTTCCTTTTTTTTCCGTTGGCCGGGTCTTCGTACAGCCGGTCGGAGTGCACGTTGGTGCGTTAGAGTATCGGTTGACCGCAACGCTGCGGAGGAGGAAGAGTGAACCGGAACGGGAAAGCACGCTGGGTACGTGCACGGAAGTGAAGGATGTAACTACAGAGGAGCAGTGAGCTATGGCTGGAGGAAAGACGGTTTTGCGCCCGTTTCTCGACGAAAACTGGCGAATAAGGGCTCGTTCCTAGCATTTTCGGCCATGGCGAGTTTATTAGTGAGGTTAGTTTGGGCGGTAGGCTAGCAGATATGGAGGTAATAGAGAAAGCTGGTGCGCCAGGCTATGGCGGGAGCTAAGGTAGAGGAGATGAGAAATCGAGATTATTACTCGATTCTCGGTGAACTCGGGCGGGGAAAGAAGCTAATCTGATGTTTTGGGTCACGACGAATCCGTTGGTGTGGTTAGAATTAGCAGTAGAGTAGTAGTTTTTGCGCAGTATGACTTATAGGCTGCGCGGAGGTGTTGAGAAACGGGGATGGGGGAAGCGTGTAACACGATACTCACCCGATCTTTGATGAAATCAGGAAAGGGGAAGGGCATTCTAAAGGTTTTGAGGGTGAATGAAACTAATGATGGAGTCGGATTCATGGGTTGGGGCTTAGATTAGGCAGTATGGGCGTTAAGAGCTGCACCTGGAGGAAGGAAATCGTCGAATCTGTATCTTTTCATGTTCTAGCGGAAGATTCATGTAATTCCGCTCATTCTATTGAGCAAGTTACAGGGAGCGAACTGAGGGATGGGCGACTTACCTTTTTGGCCAGTGTGATGCTTCTCCGAACGAAGGAAGTGGCGGGGAGGAGTGAGCTGCGGGGTTGGAGACTCACCACTAGGCCGATGCGCTGCTCAGCCTATTGATGGAACCGGCGTTTTCCTGCCTGTCTGTGCGCACGGCTGTAGAACGCTGCATTTCTCCGTGGGGTAGTGGAAGGTTCACCCTAGCTTGTGTGGGAACGGCACAACTGTATTGAAAGGGAGGTTGGATTACTAAGGAGTGTCTTTCCGCGATCTAGCGGAGTATTCATCTCGGCTTGCTTAACCTGCCCATTGGAGTAACGTGAGGCTAGCTGTGGGATTGGAGGCTTGCTTGGTCAACCGGTGGGCTGCCCGTTCTAACGACCGCAGTGCGTGAGGCAGCAAGAAGGGGTAAGGCTCATGGCAGCTTGGGGTTTGTTAGCGAGGCTAGGGTACGGTTTTTACACAAGGCAATGACTGTACTTGGGCATGATTTGAAGGGAGGGGATCTAGTTCGGGCCATTGCTGTAGTGTATGAAGATATAGCCAGGGGGGCTACCACGGTGGCTGGCCGAAAGCGTTGCACTGCACTGTTGATAGACCGATTGCTATACAGCCTGTGCCTTGAGTTGGCTGAGATCGTGGGGTGTGTTGCAGGACCTTACCAGTTTGCGCGACTCCTGTGGGCGATTCCCTGGCTGTGGGGTTGCAAGCCGCTGCTGTGCGCTCTGCTGCTTGCTTTGGCTGCGTTTCTGTTCCAGCCATTGCTGAGCTATTCCGGATCGTTGCTTTGTTTTGAGCACGACCGTTAAAGGACCACATGGCTGCAGCTTCATGAGGAGAAGGATCTGTCTGGCTCGCGGAGCGGATCGGAGGGGTGGCTGTGCTGCTATGTAACACTGTGCATTTGAGGCGCCATTGTTGAAACTACCGGTGTGTTGTTTCTGGCCGACGACTTGTTGTGCTCCTGTTTCTGATTGGGAACGAATGGTGTAGTTATTGCTATTGCGGAGGGTACCGTATGGTTTGTTGTGTGGCATAGTGACTTGTTGCAGCATACGGAAGGCTGCGTATCCCGTTGTTGTGTGGGTGGTTGTGCTCCTCATAAAGGAGGGTGGCGCTGTAATGTGAGAGAAGTGTTCAAGTCCACGGGGAAAGGCTGCTACTGCAGCGCGGTGGAGTGGTGGCGAAGGGAGTGGTTGCTGTAACTCGAAGGGTCGTCAGAGTAGTTTGACTTCAGAGAAGTCAACCAAGCTATTACACTTGGCCACCATTGCGGGGCCCTCAGGCGGTAGAAGATAACAAGGCCCTCTCTCGTGAGTCTAAGAGCGCCCCTCTTGTATCTGAGAGACTCAACGACATCTCATTCAGTCCTTCTTCTTCTAAGTCTAGTCTTTTGGTTTTGAGAGGAAGACGACAGGCGGGGTTGCAACCCGTAATCCGTGCCAAGGCCTCTGTGGGAGGTTCGCCCCACCGATTGCGTGAGCTCTGCCGGGACTCAGGAGGAGTCCTGGAGGCAGGGAACTGTGTGGTAATTCCCTGACCTTTTCTATAAACCCAACTATAACCCTTAGTCGTATATCTTTCTATGGTTTGACTGAGTGTATTGTGTGAGGGGGCAACATAATGACATGAAGGCACCGCTGTCATAAGAAGTGCCACCCACGCACACTTCGAAACTCCCTCTCTCTCTCTCTCTCTCCACGTCTTGTTGTGGCAGGAGTTGCACACACGCAATACCACCACATCTTGACTCCTGTGTCATCCATGAGAACAACAGGAGTGTGATTTCGGGATAGGTTTGCAAGGTCCTCAGCATGAAGCTCGTGATTGTGTCTGCGGGACTAACACTTCGAATTCAAAGTCTTGTTCGTTGTTGCTGTTGTTGTCAACCGCACGTGTGTCTCTCCATGTGTTCCCTGCTTTGTAGTACCGTGTCGCCACATCTGCCACGCGTGTGTCGTGCTCAAGCTTGAAAATGCAGAAACTCATAACTGTGTGCCGGCTCCGGGTTGTATTCACTATGTCATTCTTTATATTGGTCATTTGCAGCAACAGATACGACGCCTTGCTTGACTTCTTTGTCTGTTCTATTTCTGTGCGGATCACGAGTTCGGTGAACGCTAATTGCTGCAACGTCACGCCGAGCTTCCCGTCGTCTTTTCGTATTTGGAACACTTTTGTGAGTGCCCTCTTGAAGTGTTCCGCTCCCCATGGCTCGTCGCCCTTCCTTCTCCATGTTTTGTCTTTGTTCATCTGACTACGTAGTCCATTTCACACGGTGTTATTGTGATCCGACTGCGCGCAACGTACGAGGGGGACACCTCTCTCCGCCCAAAACATGTGTCTCAAGTGCCAAGTCAACTCTCCACGGACCGTTGTCATCATTCGGTTGCACTCTATGAGCACAGTCCGCAAACCGTTCTCCTCTACATACTTTCCCCAACCTGCCCTCACATCTTCTCTCAAAAGGGTAGCAGCCAACTGCAACGCATTGAAGAAGTCGTCTTCCGATGGGTAGAATGTTGCGTCCCTCACTGTTGAGTGCACAAAAGCTTTTGCAACAGACCTCAGCAGTCCGTCTTTTTGCTTTTTTTCGAATAGGTGGCATTCGTCTCTTGTGCCACCTGCCGAACGCCTTGCCTTTTTTGAGTCCTCGTCACGCCGTCTCCCTCCTGGTATAATCTGGCGGCCTGCAGAACGAGTGTCAACAACCAGAAGTTCGAAGTTGATATCCACCACTTTCGTACATTGGTTTGGCAGGACAAACAACCGCAACTGCACTTACTCATTTGCAGCCTACGCAAAATTTTCTTATCGAACAACGTTTACAGTTCGCTACTATTTCGCAGAACAGGCTTGCAACGACAACAGTCAGAGCAAAACAACATATCGACTAGCCATTTGTGTTCGGATATTTTTATTTTTCTCATACATTACGTACTTACGTCCTTCAATTGCCTTCTCCTTGAGAACTAACTGCTTGTTGGCGTTGCTATCGTGCCTGCGTCCGTGACTTCTTCCTCCTTGGCGTTTTTCGAGACGTGTTTTGTGTATTGTCTTCGCTACACCTTTCTTCCCTGCTGCTGCTCCGAGATATGTCTTCCTCCTCTTTGACCTCGCCATCGCTATCCTCTGTGTTGTTATACCCTTTCTCGTTGTCCTCCCCCTCCTTGTTCGCATCTTCTCCGTACGATCGTCCTTCGTCGCATGTGCCCTCGTTACGTTCTTCACCGTCGTCTGTCTCATCATACAGGTCGGAGCTTTGCGTCTGACCTGTTGTGTCCAATTTCGAAACCTTTGCGTCAGACCTTTGCGTCTGACCTGCTGTGTCCCGTGACTCGTGTTGTTTTTCGGTGTTGACTGCCTCCACACCTTCGGATCCCCTCAGATCAATGGTCTCCTGCGCTTCCTCCTCCCCCTCAATAATTCTCCTCCTCTTCGCATTTGTGACGTTGTGCCGAGGTTGTACTTCCACCCCTTCTGCACATGACCTTTTCTTCGGCGCCTGTGGCGGAGATCGATCCTGTCGCATGCGATTCTTCGTGGATGTCGGGGAGACGGGGATCGACTCTCGTTGTCGTTTATTGTAGTCAGACCTGTTTGCTTTCGGCGACGCCGTGACCGCAGCACGGTCCACGTGTGACTTCAGCAAAGGTGATGTCTTGCTTTTTTCATGTGGCCCTCTCTGGAATTTCCCCTTCTCTTTCCTGACCGCAGTCTTTTCGCTCAGGCGTGCTGGTGGCTGTCTTTCCTGTACTTGCTTTAATGATGAAGCAATATCTTCGTACCTGCGGTGGGGTGTCATTGCAAAGCTACATGACACACACAACATTCCAGTTATGAGATATTTATTCAAACGCTCCATAATGTATACACAACTTTTAAATGCGAATCAGCCAGAACATTGTTCAAGAAAAGAGAGAGAGAGAGAGAGAGAGAGAGAGAGAGAGAGAGAGAGAGAGAGAGAGAGA